GTGAAGTTAAGATTTGATTTATATAAAAAATTTTAATATATCATTTCAAGTTAAAGTTTATTGATGAATTTGAAATTTATATACTGCTATATTATTTTATATTTATTTTTTATCAAATAAAATAATAATAATAACAGGACGAAGAAGTCTGGTTTAGAAATCTGTAGTTAATAATAAATGATTAATAGGACGAAGAAGTAGGACGGTGCTCCACTCGCTAGAAAAGAAAATGGAATATACTGGTACAGTACTTAATTGTCAATCTTACTGCTCCTCTCTCTCTCTCTCACATTCACGCTGATGTTTTGAACATTGGTATAATGTATAGTGGAATACCATCAAATTAATTTAAATTATATTTGTTTTTGTATTTTAATTTTTTTTAAAAAATTATTTTTTTATTTTTTATTTTAAATTAATTTTTTTGTTTTAAAATTATTTTGATTTTTTGATAAATTTTTTTGTTTTAAAATTATTTTGATTTGTTGATAAAAAAATTTTAAAAATAAATAAATATTTTTTTAATATTTTTTTAAATAAAAAACACTTTAAAAAAACAACTGATACCTCTTTCGTACCTCCGAACGACTATACTTTGATTTTACTTTAATTCAAGAGAAAAAAAATATAAAAAAATTAGATTTTTATTTTCAGCTCTTCATTTGATTTTACTTGCTGTTCTTCATCTGACTCCCGAACAACCACGGCAGCAGACCATGCTAGATGGGAATCGTAGAATGCATTGCCCGAGTGTCTTTGTCAGACAAGATTGCCACTCTCGGTTTTGGATATGACTTTTACCTTTTTCTCTCTCTTATTTTTTCCCTACACACTTGCATCGGAGTTCAGACCAGAAAAATGCCGTGTTGTTGCTGGTTTAGCACTTTACAAGCACTAACATTGCCTTCCTGCCAAAGTATATAAAATAACTGACTATAACTCTGTAAAAGTAAACCATTTTACAAGCATATCACTTTCTATACAATTCAAACGGACAACGCATGAACTAAGCACAGAAATGAGCAGCAGTACCAGCCACCAATATTTTTTAACCTTTGGTTCTAATAATAGTGATCGTGCCTCTCCCTTGCGTGTGGACTCTTGTCAGGGCCACCACAGCTTTCCCAGAAAGACCGGGGCCATCAGCAGATACACATGGCTTACACGCAAAATCCCCTACCGGATGTCTTACCGGCCTTGTCGGTGGCATTAAAATCCTCTCATTGATATCGTTTATGGTCATGTCCCCTTCTAAACCTCCTGGCTTCACCAGTGCAAATGGATACACCACCCTTGTTCCCAGTACCCTCTTCTTTCTCTTCTCCCCATCATCATCTACAGCACAAAACACTAATAACAATAAGAAGATGTCCATAATATTAGCCATAAATCATAATCGATGTGTGACCAATATTGGACTTATTACTCAATCATAATTTCTAAAAACGTAAAGAACACTGATCAGGGGAGGTAGACTTAAACTCGGTGTATACAAAATATAATTAACCCGAGGATACCCAACCACCCAAAAAACCAAAAAAAAAACAGAAGAA